ACAGGGCATAGATAAAAAAGGAGACCTACATTACAGGGCATCTATAAAAAAGGAGACCTACATTACAGGGCATCTATAAAAAAGGAGACCTACATTACAGGGCATCTATAAAAAAGGAGACCTACAGCATGGAATTTGGCTAAACAAAAACAAATTCAGGTCCAATCAAAGTGTCTGAGAGGCCCCTTAGGGGGTGTTATGGGTGGCTGTGGGGACACAGCAGATGGCCCTGTCTTGCTGTTTGTAGGCTTTCATACATTCTCACAGGAATTACTGGAGCAACTCACATCAGATAGGACCCAGGTCCACATTCATAGATGCTAAACATCAGCATCGTAAAGACTACCTGCACTGAAGAAGCCCATCAAAGCCAATCTGCAGGGCTGTAGGGGCACCAACCATCTATTAATGTTATAGGTTTAAGAAATACCATTCAAATCAAGAGCTACAGTTGAAACCATGCCCATACCCACCACTGAGGACACTGATGTCAAGTCCTCAGTATTTTTTCTGCAACTCTAATGACCATGATCCATTACGGGGCACACCTAGGAAGGGCTAACACTTTTCATCTCTATTTAAAAAATCCTGGCATTGGCCTTGGTTGAAACACATGGCTCTTCACAAAGAGTATCAAACATAGATCACACACACACATACACACACACACACACACACACACAGGTTGGAGCCGTAAGGCCTCAGCATGCGGCTTGCAGACAGCGGGGGAGAGGAACCAGCTGTGACATCACGGTCAAGGCCTTTGAGGAACAGGCCACGAACACAAGTCAGAAAAACAACAGTAACAAAGAGACAGTATATTCCACTGTAGGCGGGGAACGAAACACAGGCATGTGGGAACAGGCCACACAAGCAGTGTTTGGGAAACACTGGACAATGATTTCAGTAATGATCTGTTGTAACTGAGGCCATTTAAGTTCTTACAAAAGAGCTTAAGCCATCAGACAGGCCTCAAAAAGTACCGTGCTTACGTGAGCTCATGCTGAGCTCAGTACCATGGATCTGTCTCCGCCAAATCAAAAAGGAGGAAGAAGATGGATCTAAAATGCAATCGGTGCATTAGAAAGTTCATTAAGTTTCAAAAGTTGGCTTTCATTTCAATCTTCTGCTGGACTTTGCGTGTGTGTGCCATATGAAGACACAACATACATACAGGTCAGGACACTGCAAATCCCAGCATGTGACTGAACCCTTTTAAGAAGGTACCATGACAAAGCTATGGGTGGGGGAGGGGGGGCTGCAGGAGAGAGTGATGCTGTCAGAGCAGGAGCCATGACGCCCCCCCAGGACAGGGCTCACCTTGCTGGACCACTTGCGGGCCTCATCGTGGAGCTGCCGGGCCGCCACCATCATGGGCTCGCTCACCATTTCACCTGCCTTCTGCTCAGGGAACTCCTCGTCCTTCTCCTCTGGAGGTGGTGGGCGTGGAGGGGGCACCTCCCCCTCGGGGAGCGGTGGCTTGGGTGGGGCCAGCTCATCATTAAGCTGGGAGTGGGAAAGGGCAGATCCCAGTTGGCTCGCACAACGTCATTTGGTCCTGAGCAATTCAGGAACATAGTTCCCAACAGATGGACTGGACAAGGAAATGATGGGAGCAGATCTGAGGGTGACGGAGGGAAAGACACGCTGCTCCGGGAGGCCTGCAGACTCACATGCAGCTGGTCCAGGTCTGGGGGTGGAGGGGGGAAGTCCGGCTCCTGCGGCTGGAAGGCCTCCCTAACTTTGGCCACGGCACTCAGGATGCGGTAACTGGAGTCCAAGAAGCTCTTCTGCAGGGCTGCCGTCGCAAGACGGCGAGAGGGAACAGAATTACATCAGATCTACAGCGGCCCCACAGAAAAGGGAGGAGAGAGATGACAGCAGGATCATGCAAAAACCTGACTGCCTTCCCCTGAAGAAAAGTCCTGCTAAAGTCCTTCTTTGAAAAGAGAACTGCATTAAAAGTCTGCCTGTTACCAGACAGTGTCTACTGAATCAAAAGTAAACCACTATATGTAAACACTGACTGTTCTAGTTCTATTGCATACTCATGGCTGCACTACTGTATTGAGAACTGCACTACTATAATACCTTTACCTCACACTACATTCATGCAGTGCTCACACAAAGTCTCGGGACACTTGCTCATTTCTGTAAAAATGCTAAAAAAATGCACTGACTTCATAATAAAAGTCTATTGACAAGTAATGTTTAACATATCTGTTCTACACAGACATCTTCTTTTTATTAAGTGACAATTTTTTTGACTGACTCATTCAGTTCTGTTCTTGCCATTTTACTATTAATTGCAATTGCAGTCATTGGCTCCCAAATGGATACTAAACACATATATATGTTTGGTGTTTTCTGTTATTGCAAAGGTGATTCTAATTACAAAGCACCCAGTGAGATCGCTTGTTAAACTTTTTAACTCGGAACTGCTCTTTTAGAATTTCGGTTCCATTTTATTACTAATTGAAATGAACGTTTTACTTAGAACTACTGGTTGTTTCAAACAAATTAATAAAAGTAATAATTTTTGTGGTACCACTTTACAATAAGTAGGACCCACAGATGTGCCAAGATGAGGCTTGAACCAGTGACCTTCCGAACACAAGTACAGAGGCTTAGCCCACTGACAAACTATGCATTTGCCAGCTGCTAGCTGTGATCTATAGAAAAATTCTTGTTTTATGGCTCATGGACACAGGAAGCCTGACAAGAACCAACAGCCTCCCCACACCTGGATCCTGGATCCTCCCTGCCACGCCTTTAGCCTCCATCACCATGGGCGAGATGGTCCTGCTGAGATCATCCGAGGCGGCCTTCACCATCTCACGGAAGCGGGGGTCCTCCGAGTTCTCCACCTCCCGTTTGGCCACCAGCAGGACGCGGTTGGCACGGCGGGCGATGCTGGTGGCCCCGGCGACGAGCATCTGTGGCTGCACGTTGGTCATGGCGACCCGGCACTTGTCGATGTCCTTCTTGATGGCCTCCTCGGAGGCGTCCAGCAGGGACTTGGTGTCAATGGCCTCATCCACCAGGCCTGCGATAAAGTGGGTGAGGCACATACAGCACTCTGTGAAGTCACGTCGACCTCCACCCCGTGTGACGTCGTGAACGAGGCGGCAGCCCTTGCAGGCTAGACTACCTGTCATCTTTTCCACATTGTCGATCCACTGGTTCTTCATGGCCTCAAAGTGCTCGTAGGCTGCCTGGTTCCCTGGGTTCTTCAGCAGGATGCGGGCGGCTGACACCACCTGAGCGGGGAGTAATGATAGAGAGCGCAGGCTCTCAGCCCCAGTGCTGAGCTCTCTGAGGAGATCCCACGCCGTTAATTACCTCCCCAGCACACGAGAGAGAAGTGTGACCAAGTAACAGTGCCTACAGTCAGCCTCATTTATAAAGACGCCTCAGAAACAACCGGTCTCCCCCTCAGCTGCTCACTTTCAGTCCAAGTGCCGACTCCACAGCAACAGCTGGTCAACTTGCCAAAATCCACACAGACACATATACAGACAGACAGACACAGACAGGCAAAGACAAGGTCACAGACAGAGAGAGAGACAGACATAAAGACATACAGAGATACAGACACATATACAGACACAGAAAGAGACAGAAAGACAAACAGACAGAGACAGACAGACACACAGACACATATAAAGACAAAGACAGGCAAAGACAGTCACAGACAGACAGACACAGAGACAGAAAGACAGACACACAGGCACATATACAGACACACATACAAACAGACAGACAAAGACACGGACGGACGAAGACACGGACAGACGGAGACACGGACAGACGGAGACACGGACAGACGGAGACACGGACAGACGGAGACACGGACAGACGGAGACACGGACAGACGGAGACACGGACAGACAGACCTGGGGCGTCAGCTCCCTTGCAGACTTCACTGCAGTCTGGATACCCTCCACAGTGGCCTTGTTGGCTGTGCCCACGGCGGCCGCCTTCTCGGCCGTGGCGCCCAACCTGTTGGCATGGCTCTCGAAGTTCGCGGCCCGCTCGTCAAACACCTGTGGCGGGTAACCAGAGCAGGCACACAGGAGAATGTGAAGAGACACGGGGACGCGTGGCAGCCCTGACTGCGAACGGCGCTCGTCCCCGAGCCCCCTGCCAACCTCGTCCCTGTTCGGGGTGTTGAGCGGGGCGGTGGCTGCCACCGCAAGCAGCTTGATGGGCGTGGTGGTGTCACTGAAGACATCAGACACTTCCTGAGTCATCGCCTCCTGCATCTTCTTCTTCAGGTCCTGCGAGGATGTTGAATTGGAATGGAAGTTAGTATGATGACTGTCAGAGTCACTCAAAAAAAGACTTATTTACAATGTAAATACGGCCCACAAATTATGCTTTTCAGCAGAAAAGGATAGGTCAATCAAGACACCAAATAATCATGAACATGAGACAGTAATTGACTTCACACTAATTTCAGGTGAAACAGATGCATTTGTCCATGTTGAGCAGAGTATTCAGGGACTGCTGGCTTATCAGAGGCGCCCTTTCTTGGGATTAATGTGTATGAGCTGCAATGTACAGATGCAGGCAATGCTCATGTCAGCAGAGGGAGCCCTTGACCACGGTGCCTGGGGAAGACTCACTCTGAGGGCCTCCTGGAGCTGCTGAGCCGTGGCATGGGCCTGTGGGGAGTCGCCCTGGCCGCGGGCCGCCAGCTCCGCCAGCTGGCCCATCAGCTGATCCACACGTTCGCACCGGGCCAGCAGCTCCTGCCGGCTCGGGCCTGGCGTGGCGATGGCCAGTCTCCGGCCCTCTGCCACTAGTGCGCGGATAGCGGCCTGGCCTGGGCAACATCAAGAGAGGAGTCAGACGTTTGCATGCCCACCGAGGCAATGCTACAAACGTACAGCAGGCGGCATGACGAATTAGGCGGAGGACAGAAAGATCTCAGCGTCCATTCAGCCGCCCAGACAGGTGACAGCAAAATCAGAGACCGAATCGCCGTGGCACTAACAAGGCTGTGCAAACAAAGCAGCCGCGTCAGACAGAACCCAGAAGGCCCCACTGCTGAGCGCTGGGCGACGCCCACAGCTGCCCTCTCTTTTCCGTTATCCACCAGCACAGATAATCGCCACTCTGTGTTATTAATAAGCGCACTCCTTCAGCTCGCCGAGTGAGGGAAGTGCCTAAGGTCATCTCGGCAATGCTAAACCGTGACCACAGTGGTCAGGATGAGTCACCTCCTCCACGGGCTGGTATAAATAGGGCCTGCAGTTCTGTCTGTTACAGGCTGGGCAACTGAGCATTACACAATCACCGCTGATGCGGGCTGGTTGGGTGGCACGACCTGGGGTTTCCCTACCCGAAACCGAGGGGGTCCCACTAGGCCCCAGCTACCTGCCACATCCCAGCCAGGACAGGTGTGTGACTCTGACATCTGCCATTTGTATGAACTGCTGTTATTATTACTAAGAGTTCCTGGTGCCAGTTGGGGGTACTCACCGACCCCACGGTCGTCCACTGTGGGGTTGTCGATCCAGCGCTGGGCCTGCTCCATTTTGCCTTCTAGATGGACAGCAGCCTTGGCGGGCCGGCTGTTGGCCACGGCTCGATTCGTCTTGGACTGCAGGTTCTGCAAAGCTGCGCCGATCTGCCTGGCCAGGGCGCGGGCCTCAGGGGTGTCACCTTTACCTCTGCGGGAACACGGAGCAGGTGGTGGGCGTGTCTGCAGACCCCAAATGGGCCCCTGGAAGTGGTAACACTCGGGGGTCCTGGCCGCTTACAGTCTGCGCAGCTCGGACAACTTGGCAGTGAGGGCGGCGATCTCGCCCACAGAGCGCAGGATGTCGTCCCGCTCCTTGGGGTCCTCGCACAGCTCCGCGATGCGCCGGGCCTCTGCGAGCAGCGCCCGGATATTGTCCTCCCCTTCCGGGCCGCCGTTTGGGTCGGCCAGCCAGCCCTGCACAGACACACACAACGCCCATGTGAATGCGATCAGCCTTCATTACCGTAACAAACCAATTAAGCCCCCCCAAAATGACCACCACAGAAAGAATCTCCTTCTAGCACTTTTCTTCCTGTCCTTATGGTACGCAGACATACCGTGTTTGCTCAGATAAGGTCCATCTCTGACACACACACCTACACCCAAAGCAGACACACACCTGGGCTGCGTCGATCCTCTTGGCGATGGCCTGCTTGGACGTAGTCATGGCCTCCAGCTTGCGAGCTGCATTCTCCACCTTCCCTGTGAGCATGTCCAGCCCCTGGGACACCTGCTGGGCCCTCTGCATGGCCACCGGTGACCCCCCCTGCCCCCTAGCAGGCAGAAACGTCATGTAGACAGAGGGCACCAAACGTCCTCAATAGACCATGAGGAGAAACGTTCCCGCGAGGTGAACTCCACCGGGCCGTACCTCGCCCTCAGCTCCGACACCTGGTCCGTCATCTGGCCCAGGGTTCTGGCTGTGCCCAGGATTTCCCGTCGCTCCTTGCCCGCACACAGCTCGCCCACCTTGCCCGCCTCGTCCAGGATCTGCCGCACCGCCTGCTCCCCGGCATCTCCTGTCAGGGTGGTGTCCAGGTAGAGTGGCAGCACCATCATCCAATCAGCATTAAGCACATGGGGACAAGCATAGGAATAGGTGGGGTTTAATAAAGCTTTATTAACGTCCATCTCAGAAGGACTTTTTAACACAGTGTCATAGTGCCGTCTCCCCTCGCCAATCAGCTGTGGCAAGGCTCCCAGAAGGACCGCCCACTGCACCTGGTTGGCCGTTCGGGTCCCGCAGCCAGCCTTTCGCCTGGTTCATCTTGGAGTTGATGAGTGCCAAGGCTCTCTTCATGGCCTCAGAATCCTTCACAGCAGAGGGAGAAACTCACCAGTTACTGTAGGCCACATGACCATCACACCTGTGCCGGAGCACACAAAAGCGGGGCGGCTTTTAGAAGCTCTATTTTCACACTCATTTCCTGCAGCCACGTCACACGATGATGTACATGCACACTCCGTGCTGAGCAGAAACAGCCACGCGTGTGTGTGTGTGTGTGTGTGTGTGTGTGTGCGCGTGAATGAACATCACACTGTCACCCTGGGCATCCCCTCCAAAGACACTGCAACCACTTACCCTAACCTGATGCATTCTGGGAAGCTGAACCATACAGTACCATTATAAAAACCACACTGTCCTTTCTGAGGCCCTGCCTAGCCAGTATGCAGCACACGCATGTATCCCCACCCACGATGTTTCACGCACGATGGCAGATCCACACGGAGCCTCACAGAGGGACCCCCGTTACCGGAAGGGAGTCAAGCTCCCAGCCACCACCCGGCTGCTAATTATTAAATTACAGTGGATGAACTAAAGGACTCTGCATTAATGATGAGATATAAAATGCACAGCAAACACTCTTCAGAAAACGAGGCACCTGCCATCTAGGCACTAAATCTGTAGGAACTAAATCTGTAGGAACAACAGAGACCCGCCTGCGAGAGTCAGGGTGGGGCAGCCCCGCCCCCAACAATCTGCAAGCTCCACGCTAAATGTTATGAGCATTTCCCAGAGGAGAACACACACTTTGCAGCAGTTTAAAAGGCAGTTACTAAGACGTACGGCCGCGTTCGCAGCTGGCAAGATGGGGCCTCTTTAAATAATTCACAACACTGAAAGTCCTCGCGAGCCCGCGACCTGCATTATTCACGGCGGCTAAGCAGATTACGGAACCACTAATGGTGTTTGCACGTCTTCTACGAGAGCGAATCACTGGAGAGTGGACCTAGAGTAATCACACAGCCTTCTGGGGGCGGGGGGGGGGGCGCAGGATAGTGGATGAGAGGTGCAGAGAAAGCAGGGACAAAAAAAAATAGAAACTGAAACAAACTGAGGAAGTGAGATACGGACACGGACCCAGTTCCATCGGTGAGGGTTAGTAGGTAGGTGACAGGCTTTGCACACACACAACACATCCGTTACTGAGCCGAAAGTGCCCAGCTGTTCTCTAGCATGCGTCTCTCCCTCCCGAATGGCAAGGCAATGCCACAGTGAGCCAAGGACACTCTGCCCCCCTTTCCTGACCTGCGAGCCGCACACAGCCAATCAGCTGGCTCTGTGCCGGATCCCTGTAACACACGCCTCCTGCTCAAGTCCCCACTAATCTCCCATTCTGCTTGGCTGTGACCGCAGTACCGCGGCCAGCCTGTGTGTGGCGCCCTATTTTACAGATGCCCAGGTCTCGTATATTAGACCCAGGTGCCTGACCTTCCTGGCAACGTCTGGAAAGGGACTGGGGGGGGGGTGGTGACACACCTTCCTATTATGCCATGATATCTATCTCTTTGTCCTCCTGTCGCCGAAACAAGATTCCCTGACTGGCAGTTAAACATTTACCAGCAACAGGCACCTCTGAGCAGCCAGGCGTCTGATAGGCCCTGGGCCAGACGCACCCTAACCATTAAGTCGACCTACCGAGGAAATGTGTGGTTTGCAGACAGGTCAAAGGTCACGGGCACTCGGCCCGAACTGTGGCATCACATGCAAAAAAGGGAGAAAGCATGTTCAGTGGTGTTAATTTTTACCAAAAAAAAAAAACAAATTCCAAACGTAACAAACAACCTCCAGGCCAGTGACCCAGATGCTGAGGGTTCACTCGGCCGCAAGCCACAGGCGGACCGGACCGCCCACCAATGTGCCGCTAAAGCTAGTGTGCTAACAACTGCTACCAGCGGCACGTGAAGCAACCACATCACAAGACCTTGCGCACACGGCACACAGAGGCTGCACACATGCACCAGCAGCAAGAGGGGGTGGAGAGGCAGGCTTACCTTCTACAGGGAGGAAAAAAAAAGGGAAAGGAAGAATAAAAGAGAGGATGTTTAACAACACATAATGAGCACGCAGGGAAACGCAGAGGGTTTATCGGGGCGGGGCTTCTGTCTCATCACAAACAAGGCACCCTGGGAACTCGTGGTGCACCCCGGACGTGGGGCTGGACAGGGAGGATGGAGGAAGGCCTCACCTTGTTGGCCCAGGCGTCCTCGTCCCAGGACGTGAGCTGCAGCACACGGATGATCTCGTGGATCTCGCAGCTCATTTTCTCGAAGGTGAAGTTGCGGTTCTTCAGGGCCTCCTCCACTCCCAGACTCCTGGTGCTCTTAGTTGTCACGTAAATCTTAATGGCTGAAAGAGGTAGGCTGTTAGTAGGTCCTGCCTGGGGTTAGGCTTAGAGGCAGGCTATTCACAGCTCCCTTCTGAGGAACCCATAATCCCAGGTCCAAAAACGCATGATCAGACACATGACCATAAATCTGTGTTCTGATCCACACACACAAACCAAGGTAAAAGAACCACGCCGTCTACTCCGGGACGGTCACCTGATATCAGTATTGGCAGCAGCTCCTTCACCGTATTCATGGAGTTGATCAGCATGACTCTGTGCTCCTGGTGCGTCAGCTCCTGCTGCCTCTCGTCAATCATCTTTGCCATTTTCGTCATGCCTGGGGAGGGGCAAGAATCACAGGACTCTGAGCAAAGTGACAAATACTGAACCAAATAACCTTCCAAGCACACTGAGGTATCAGAATTCAGCCCATTGGTATTGATATGAAAACCCTTTATCCAGGCGCCAGACAGCTTAGCATGGGTGACTGACGCCTTCCCATCATACAACTAGTGAGCTGCACTAAGAACAAGACCATAGACATGCGGAGACTCCTTCCAGTCTCTTCCCATATCACTCCTGTCCATACTAAGAGGCTGGGGCCGAAGGATGGCAGCATGGAGCACCTGGGCCCAGGTTTTTGGTGTAGGTGATCAAGTCCTCCATGGTCTCCACCACCTCTGCCACTGTCAGGTACTCCAGGATGCCCTTGCACACACGGATGATTTTACGGACCTAAAACACACGAGAGGAGAATGGCATTTTAAAAACGGGACGCGGCAGGTCCGAAAAACACACAGCCAAACCAATCCGGCAGGCCTGGACTGACCCAGATTGGCCCATCTACCTCAGCCTCATCGAACGTGAGGAGCAAGTCCGACGTCCCGGAGAGAATGCCCCGCGATCCATCGATGAGATAATCACGAGCCGGTACAGAGTAGGGGTCCGCTCTGAGCATCTGGGCAGCCTGGACCAGCTTGGTGCATGCATTCTCCACCCTGCAAAGGGGGCAGAGCTGTGACAACCGACTCCGTCCTGCCAGCTCCCCCTGCTGGAGACAAAGTGCGGACAGATTCCTGTAGGCTAAATGGGGCTGGCTGGGGAGCGGCCTTTAGGAAGCTGCCACGAGCATTAGCTCCAAACTCTGTGAACAAACACTCTGCAAGAGGAATTGGCCTCCTGGGCCATATTAAGCAGAGCGGGGTGTGTGAGGAGTCACCTCGACCTCGAATGGAGCTACCATGCACAGAATCGGATTTGGCAGCAGTGGCTGACCACAGACCAGCTGTGAGAAACTCTTCAGCTGCCGGTAACAGTCAACCCCTTCTGCTTTTTCGCACACAGCAGGTGGCATGGAGCTGCTGGAAGGTCAGTCTCGTTATCAGCTCCTCCATTTGAGATAATGAGCTGTAAACACTGCCCCCCCTCTGTCCTGGGGGCACCTACCTATAATCATTATCCCCTCTAGGCAGTCAGGCCCAGTGTCAGCATGTTTATAAACTGGATGAGCCCAGGACACACACACAGTCAGAGATAGAGAAAGAGAGGGTCACACCACACGCATACAGTGACACATGACGCCTCGCAGACAGGAGTCCTGCAGGCGTGGAGTCACATGACCCATCTCCCCGTGGAGCCGAGGCAATGGAGGCCGCCGTGCACGTGTGCTTACTTGATGAAGGCTGGGGGCATGTCTCGTCTCATAATCTGATCCTCCGTGGTCTGGACCGTCTCCTTGCCCACCTATAGAAGAAAATGTGCAGAAGCAGTGAAGAAGTGAGGAAATGAAAGGATGTCCTGGAAACATGGGTACCACCCGCTCAGCACCCCCACCGTATTTCTGTACTTCTGAAAGCTAGTTAGTCTTAAAAAGGAACAATCATTACAACTGAAAAGCTTGTTAAGTTGTGTCACCATGAACGCACGACTAAAAAGATTTCACCCCCGCGGCCAGTTTCAATCAGCAAGATGTCAAAATAACGGAATAGCATTGCTGTTCAAAATACCAACAAAATACCGTATACCATAGTATAATGTCCAGGCAAATTACATACCACCCAAGCCTAATCTTGTCCTTGCAATATGACAACTGCATTTGCATAACATGCGATGTTGATATTGAAAACAGATGGTGCCCACGTCAAAGGAGATTAAGCTGTAAAACCAGTAAGAGCCTTGCTCAAGGGACCAACAGTGATATTACTCTGCCGGCCATGGGATTTGAATCCACAACCTTCTAGAGATGGATACAGATTCCTAATCCACTGAGCTACACACCACACCATATCTTTTTAGCTGATAAAGCTGTCTGACTTGTAGAAATGTTCCTAAAATACCCTAAATATGACAGTACCTATATGTTCTGTCACTCAGCCCAAAAGCATCTCGATTCTCAGTCTCTCCCTCATCTTTCCCTCCCCTCTCTCGCACATAAACATGAGACCAGAGCTGAAGCTTTACGATCAGCCACCGGTTCTGCCTCATGAACATTCAGCATGAGTGTTGCTTATCTCCCCCAAGCACCCAGCCTCCCCCCCAAGCCATAATTAAAGAGAGGGCAGCCAAATCAAGGCCTCCGGACCAAGGTCGAGGTTCTCTGGTGATCGATAGTGGTAACATAGGAGAAAGGCCTCCTGGCCTCACATGACATACACCAAAAATGCACCAGAGCAATGGCGTAGAAGGAGTTTGATAGTGGGGGGGGGGGGGGGGGACGACGATGACGACGACACAACTTAGTAATCTAAATACAAAGGTTTGTCTATTGGGCTGATGAATGAAGCCAAATTGTTTTTTATGGGGGGACAAAGTTTCCCCCTGGTTCCTACGCCACTGCCAGTGAGGACACGACGTGACTGGGAGCTGCATCATAGCTGGAAGGAGCAGGTAAACACAGACAACGTGCTGCTCCCAAAATGCACCTGTCAACTGGGGTCCCCCTCAGCTGGGGCCAGGGCCAGCCAGGAGGGCTCGTTCCGGGGGGGGGGGGGGTTGGGGGGGGGGTTCGGCGCTGGGACTGCGGTCCTGGCCTGGATGGGGCTTTGGTGGCTCTGGGGGGGGGGGGCATTCCAGAGTTATTATTAGAGCTTTCAAACATGCCCCTAGGGAGAAGGCCAGCAGGCCCCTCTAGTGGAACACCTAGCTGGGACACTGAGGTTGATAGGGTCCGAACTGCAGTCATCTCCGCATGAACCAGCACGGAAGTAAAGCTACCAATGTGACCGTCTGACTGACTGCTTCTTCATTTGCTTTTCTCCATTTCTCCACCATTGTTTCTCAGACAGCTGTTCTGAAGGCTGCTACCCTTGCAGGCCACTTCTAAAGCCAGCCACTTTCCGTCGAGGCGCCACAGGGGATGGGCTGCCACCGGATGGGACACACACACGCACACACACACACACACACACACACACACGCAGGCAGCTGTTTAGACAGAATACGAAGAGCTGGCTGATCAGTCCATTCGCTGGCAGCCATAAGGAGAGGTCGTGCAGTTGAGGAAGATGAACAAGCGGGTCTTTGTGAAGCTCCTGGGGCTGAAACAACAGGCAGCCACGTGCCCAGGGAGCTGAAAGTCCCTCCAGATCTTCAGTGAAAACATCCAGGAAATGCCGAGGAAAACTTCGAAGGCGCCTCTGATCAGTAACAGTGTTCATACACACCAGCCAAGGCAGGAGCCAGGGTGGGGGACTGGGCTAAATTTAACGTGGTCTCCCATAGAGCAGGCATGTGCTGCATCTCTCCTCCAGGCTGGGAAAGGCCAGGGGCAACGGCAGCTTGCGTAACGCCTTCCAGATGCTTGTTTACATGACAGTCTGACGTCATTTCTTAGGGATTTTGCTGCCCGCCATGGAGAAGACGCTACAGCCAGTGTCTCCCTTTTAAGGAAGGTCTCAGCGGTAAGCTGACTCTTTCACGCATCAGATACGTCCGCCTATAAAAGGGACCTTTTCACTGTCACTGTCATGGTCAAACAAAGACTTGGTGGGGGGGTGGGGGTCACAGCCTTGGGTTCAAGCTCCACACAATTTCGATATTCTCACATAGATCCTACTCTGCAAACTGCCAAAGGTCCTCCCGATCAAACCTGACAGTCAGCATTCGAGAGGCATGACATCACCTCCACAGTGCCGTTAGAGAGGGCGGTCAGGCACACAAAAGCCCGCTCCTTCGTTGCAACGTGCTCAGACAGGTGTCCCAAACCAGATGCCCCCCCCCCCGGATTATTAACCCCCCCCAGGCCATTCGCTGCTGCTCATTTATAAACCAGCTCCAACATGCTCCTTCTGCAGCCTGAGACTACAGAGGATCTGGGACTGCAACTCCCAGCATTCCTTGCGTCTGAGAGCCCATGACCTTCAACTGACCATTATGAAATAACTAGCCATCGGACCTTTGATCTGCCGGAAGACATTCCCACATGATGGCTGGTTTATGTGCCAGCCGGGGGGTGGGAGGGCAATGCCTCCATCTGCAGGGATGCCCTCAACTGTGTCACAGGCCATGCAAATGATGCAACGGGCCTGTGAACATCTGTCAGATGATCTATCAGCAACCAAGATAAAACCGATTTCCTATCAGGTCTGCCTTCGATTAAACTTGCCCGTAACTAAAAGTCTATCAGTGTGACGATAGGTCACGTGGTCCTGACGATTAAAAACAAACCCACCACAATGTTGATAAGGCCGCCCCCGACTGGCTGAGTTAATCAGGGGGTGGGGCAAGCCCGGGTGTCCATGTTGCCCTGCTCCCTCTTAGATGCCATAAAAAGCAGGTCAGGAAGTCGTGGTAGTGGGGGGGGCAGACACCACAGACAGACCCATGGAGACCATCAAGCCAGACCCCCAGCCCAAGTTCTAGACCCATCTGTGGTCCACAGAGACGCACTGTTCAGACAGCAGCACAGCACGCCAGGAGAACAGGTGCCCTATGGGGAGTAATTAAGACGCTGACACTGGAGATTCTCCTCTGAGCCCGGAGTCACTTTCCCAGAGGGCCCCCCGTGCCCCTTGCCCGAACCCTCCCTAGCCTCCTGTCTAGCTGCATCCCCTTTATCTCCTGCTCCTACAGGGACCCGATTCAGCAGGGTCACCCGCGTGTCCAAAAACAGCACCAGGCCAATCATCTGGCCCATGTCCTGGGAAGGGACACTGCCATTGCCACACATACAGTGAAGAACCCCCCTCAACCCAGGGCCAAATAACACAATATGAAACCAGCTTTGCAGTGCCAACCTTTGACTGCACCAGTAAAAGGCTGTACGCAGGATCATACCACATGGGGGGGTGCTTTAACAGAGACAGTGTCACAGATAAACAGAAGGGGTGGTCAGTGGTGGCAGGCTCACTATTCTGATATATCTGAAACACACACACGTGCATCTGCTAGCAAGTGCACCTTGACCATTACCCACAATGCCAATGAGCCATCAGTATGGTTCACTGCCTCATTTCAGGTAGTATCTCATTACACACTGCTAGTCACCAGTCCACTTCCCTCACAGGATATTTCTGGTCTGGTTTTCCCATAGGTGGCCCAATCAATAACACATCAGCGTTGAAAGGCTGGGATTGACAAAATAGCTCTGAGGTCCAGGAACAACCATAATGGTTTCGGGATCGCCTTTCAAGGTGCGTGCAAAATAGCACTTTGGAAATTCCCCGAGGAACTCGAAAGGTCTGCTGAATGTTCGGAAAGCCGAGCTTCGACCAACCATCCCCTGGCACACAGGAACACGCCAAGGACACAAAAGCCCACTCTAAGCGTGGAGGGTTGTCCACCCAGGTGTACCGCATGCATGCGGCTCAGCACAAGGGGGCACTGTAAATGAATCCAACATTATAAAGCCACATGAGGAGCCCAAAGGCCACAGCGATGGAGAGCATCACTTCAGAGAAGGGAGATGACCCAGACACCATTATTCAGCCCAAACAACATACAACTGGGTGGCATCGAAGCATCTTGTAAACCCACCCATTCTTAAATCACCCAGAAAATCCCGGCACTCTTAGTCATGTACTGAGTATTGCTACCAGAAACACTGAATCACTGAACAAGGAGAGCACTCTTACCATTCAAGGACCAGGAAACAGCCGCCATTCAGACCCTGAATGCCCCCCCTCCCCTTCAGGTCAGGGACCCCTGGTTGCTCTCCTCCCTGCTGTTGTGAGATGACTATTTTTAACTGACCCCCCCACCCACCCCCACCACCACACACACTGCCCACACACTACTGCTGATAGAATACAGTCTGATTAACCAGCAGGTCACTTTAAATATGGTCCTTAATAGGGCTCTAATATGTACACTTACACTGGAGTAAAGGGCACACCTGAATTCCACTCATTCTAATAAAATATGCAAGCAAAGACATACCTTGCCTGTTAAGTTATCATTTCGTTTAAAGCACTGCACAGCTATTCCAAATTTCTGCTAAATGTTGCTCCGGCGCAATTTTTAAATTTATGTCTTTGAGCGCAACCGGCTAATGGCACAGGATCTAGCTTCAGTACACCAGCGCTTGTAATGTCAGCACTTGCTCAAGCTTATTACATAAGGCTGACAGTGAAATGTTGCTCCTATTACCGGCTTCCCACGGGCTTGCGGGGGCCTGGCAGGTGTCCATGCGAGTTTACAGCGGCAGTGTTAGCGGGGGAGCGGGCGGTTTCCTCATCTAGCCCCACGAGCTTGCGGTGACGTCACGGGCCGCGAAACCTAACGCGCGTGTCGGGAGAAACTCACGTGAGGTGCCCCGCAAACGCTGCTGCAAACCCGCAAACCTGTCAACAGCGAAATGCCTAACTGCTTTGAAAGCCGTCACATGCACTAATATAACCCCGTAAACAGGGATCAGTATGGCAAACACCACATGGAGAAGTAAGGATACGTTTCTGGGAGGAGTCTGTGCAAGTAGTTAGATACCTAAGCAGTTCCAAACACCGATATTTCCAGTAAAGTGAATTTTATGCATGCAAAAGTTTTGTACTTCATGGCAAAAGCGGCCGGTGTGGAACTGGTACAGAAAATGAGAATGATACACGAGGGGGAACTTCAAGCCTCCTTGTCAAGTAAGGATTCAGTGTTTTGCCCAGCCCTTGGAGGCGAGGGGGCAGGGCAACTCTCCAGGAAAATGCAGTTTGTCGTCTTACAGCTTGCCTTTCAAATAAAGCGCTTTTTACACGGCCGGCCCCTACCGCGTCCTCACGGCGATCACCATACTCTGCTCAGTCCCTAAGTTGATGCTTGTCAAATAAAAGTTGAGAGCAGTCACAGCTGCAGGAGAAGCGGGGATCCCCCAGGTATAGAGCGTCCCTCCCCTGGTCCTCACGGCATACCTACCCTCACAAGATTGCTGACAGCCGCCTGCACCGCGGCCACGGGTCCGGTCAGATCTGGTATGGCTTTCCCGTCCACCTCACCCTCTTCGTGCATGATCACCAGGTGAGAGATCTGCTGGGCCACGGGCTCCAGGATACTCTCGATCGTTTTCGTGTGGAAAACCGGCATTGTGAACTGTTAAATCCCCTGGCCAGACAAGGAGAGTGTTCGTCTCATCAAATCGTTTCCCTCCGCTTCCGCAAGGACAAAATCCAACCGCCTTTCCCGGACAGTTTCGCTTTAAAGGAAAAACTATGAGCCTCGCTACCCCCCCACCCCCTCCGATCGGCAACTGCCTGAGTGTGTGAACCGCAGCCGAAACCTTCGCTGAGTCAATTGCCGTCCGCTGCCTAGTACTGGGAGGGGGGGGAGTCTGTGTATGTAACCACAAATCTCATTGGTGCGCTCGACTCACCCCCAACCCCCCTTCTACCCCACACACCCCACCCCACCCCATCCCCATCCCGCCTCCTCAGGCCGCCCGTGCGGGAGACGCCAGCGCCTCCCCGATTACGTCATGCATTCCCCCTGGCCGAAAAAGGAAAACGTCGGACCGGAGCTATGGAGTGGGGAGTCCGGCTTTGTGTGTGTGAGGGGTGCTTTACAGCTGATTTACAGATACATATTACGTCAGGGAGCTGCAAATTCACAGTCGGGCCAACTGTGGGATTTCACGCCGATAACCTGCGATCACGCGTCATATATTACTTATGACACATAAAATTATATATTTAAAAATGGAGTGTTCAATATATGCATTGAGACTGAGGGGACAGGAGGCATAATATAGGGGCGCTGTTGCCGGTCAGATTTAAGATGACGAAAAGCTGACGTTCACGGTATTTTTATGACGCTCAGAATAAGTGTCGCCGACACTCGAGTCGTACTCGGTAAATGGTGGGTCGCGTCGCGGGTTCGCATGTCCCCCCGGACTTTGACAGCACTTCTAAATAAAGACCATGGATACAGTTTCACAGCTTCGATCGTTTTTTGACCGCCACCATGGGCTACCTCCAGCAAACCTGACAGAATGTTTCTTCGTTTCATTAGCCAGTCGTGACTTATTTAAACATCGAAGCGTATTAAAATAATACTTTCGGTAAGGCGCTGACTTTAAACATACAGCCTGCATGGGTGTGCCCGCTTTGTCGGCGCACCTATGCGGCGCAGAAGGTTTGCAAACAGGGCGTTTCCGTCGAGATTTTCTATCTGCACGGCTTCCGACTAACGCTGAAAAAAAGTGACGATATTTCACTTTGAGTGCTTTGATGTGCTGTGTACAGGAATGAAGTGGCAGATGGTGCCATGACAACAACCTCACCCTGAACATCAGTAAAACAAAGAAGGTTATTGTGAACTTCAGCAAGCCCTCCAGAAGTCACACTCCGATCACCACTGATGGTTCTCCAGGGGACAACTTCAGGCTCCTTGATCTCCACCTACATACCCCAGCCACAAACGTTTCACCCCAGGACTAGACTGGTATCAAATTTCGGTCCTGGACTTCAGGCTACCCCACACCCCTTCCACAGTAAATTTTGCTGAGCTGGGGGGGAATCAATTTTGTCAGCCCACCTACCCATCAGTGCACCAGGAAAATAGCTGGTGTGCCAAATAGGCAGTCCAACCTTGTCCTGCAGTCCGTTACGAGCTTTTTTAGCATCAGGACAGATTCAAGAACATCTTCTTTCCCCAAGCCTCTTGCAATTCCAAAATCCGCATGACAGTCATATCCATGGCACCTGCACTTTGTAGCACTATTACTGCACTTTTACCAGCCAGTGAATGCATGCTGGGCATTGCTAGGCTCTTAAGACATCAGGGGCTTAACCCAGAGAGCTAATCTGTCCGAGGCTCATCGCATTGCGTTCCTTCACTCTCAAGTTACGATGATTGTAATACTACAGAGGTTTTGGGAAACACTGCCTTAGACTATGGAATGAGGTCTTGATTGTTAAAACAACTGAACTAAGCAAGTCATTTGGGACACGTTCGGCTTTATTCGGGTCTTCATGCCCCAGGCTCGTGACGCTTCTGCTGTCTACTGTTGTAGTGTCTTCCAATGTTCTGCATTGTCTTGTTTACGTTCACATCGGGTGTGGCGGAACATGGACGCATTCCAATGCACCTGTCGCACATGGCCAATAAAAAATCTTGAATGTCGAGATGCCTGATACGTTTTTGTAAGTGATCCCATTCAACTTTCTCCACTACCCACTGCCGAGACATCACACGGAGGGAGCTGGGAGCCTCCAGAAGAGGCTATGTGGTTAACTTGTGTAGGGATTGCGACGTTGTCATTGCTAGTGGTCAAAACACAAGACGGTGAGCAAATTGACTCCTTTAAGTCAGTGTGGCCTGTGCAGAGCGCCTTGTGCTGGAGGGACAACAACTCTCACCCATGTTCTGCAGCCAGTAGCCTAAGAATAGTGCATGACAGCTTAGATAGTGACCTGGCAGGTTGGAGGGAGGGCCCATTGTCTGATAACCCTCTTGGTAGAATTTGCCGATTGTCTGCCGAGGGTCCGAAGGTCCCCCTTGGTAACCCTTCAGTAGATTTTGCTGATCTGGGTACTGAAGCACGGAGGGTCGAAGTTGTAATTTTGCTGTTTGGGGGGTGGGTGTTCAAACCCATTATTTTGCTACTTGCCAGGTAGAATGAACTGTACTTCACAAAAGAGTCATGATAATCTGGAGTTCAGGTTGTCCATGAGTAATTGAATACTCACTTGGCTTAGATTTCTCCTGAAAACACTCATGGGTTGTGGGGAATCTCGCTGGATAGGGGCTTTCATTAGGAGTAAGGTTCTATTGCTGGGTGTGTAGGTGCTTTCGACGGAGACGAGCTGTGAGTAATGTGAGTAATGGAGAGTTGGGTTCCTTTAAATCAGAGCTAGATAAGATTTTAACAACTGTGAGCTATTAGTTAAGTTCTCCCCAAGCGAGCTCGATGGGCCGAATGGCCTCCTCTCGTTTATATAGTTCTTATGTTCTTATGTTCTTTTAAGGAATCTGTAACAGAATAGAATGGACCTATAGGGATTCCTTACACCACGGTGTGAAGGCAGGCCTCGCGTGCCTGACTGTCTCTCTGCTGCCGCTGTTGTTTCCCTGTCCCACAGCTGCCTAATAAGGAAAACGACGGCTAGTGAGACGAGCAAGACCTTCTGAAGAAAAATAACTGTACACGAGGGAGACTTGAGTAAGCACCTATATATGCAGGCCATTTCACATGCTGTCAGCATTCGCCTCAGCAGAGTCTAACATGGCCTTGAGCTGTTCTCAGTCACTTTGTTTTGATTTTAAAATCTTAAGGACCTTGTGTACAGTGACCCATGCTGAAGGATGACAGGGTCCTCTCAGTATCAACAGTTCAGCAGCGAAATCAGAGTATCTGAGATAGTTTGCTTCCGATTGCTGCTTTACTCTCTTCTCAGAAACGCTGCCACCCTGGTTGTTACCATGCTGTTGTTGCTTTGGATAGGTGCATGTAGTGTCAGCAGAATGCCACCACTACACCTCAGCTGACAGGGGGGTGGTTCTGGGGGTCTGTGGACACCTTGGTGTGAGGGATGGCAGAGACCTGCTTGGTAGGTCCTCATCAACACACCTCTGCTTTTTGTGTTGTCCTGCTTTGTGTCTCCCATGATTAACTTTAGCTTTTGGTGTGTGTGCTGTCTGAGCTGATGCGTGATCTCTCAGAGATATTACGTGTACTGTCTGAGACATTGTGTCCCCTGTCTCAGATGGTGTCTCCTGTCTCAGATGATGTCCTCTGTCTGAGACGATGTGTCCCTTATCTGAAATGATGTCCATTGTCTGAGATGTTATGTCCCCTGTCTGAGATGTTGCGTCTCCTGTCTGAGATGTTGCGTCTCCTGTCTGAGATGTTGCGTCTCCTGTCTGAGATGATGAACTCCTCTGCGAATGTCTGCCATGTCTGAGATGGTGTCCATCATCTGAGATGACATCTCCTGTCTGATATAGGGTACCTTCTCTGAGCCAATGTGTCTCCTGGCTCATCTTATGGTCTTCACATGTAGAGCTTCCCTCCCCCCCCTCCCCCCCCCCACACACACACATGATTGGCTCACTTATACTGCCCTAGTTGCCATCCTGGAGCATGGAATGTGTTTTTTATACAATTGTCTTGGGGTTTGCACTGTTAAAATACTGAGAAATGCTTCACATTTTTGAAGAAATGCTGTGGAGAGATATCTGATAATTAACTGCCGAAACTGCCATTGTGTTTAGCTGCCCCTGCAGATTTAGTATGTGTACAGACACTTATTCTAACATGCGTGCACAGACCCTGGTTCTGGGGATACTCATATAAAAACGCCTAGAAGTAACAGATATACTCTGAGTATATATCCGCATACTCCTTAAACAACTTTTCATCTACTTATGTATTTTATTTATGTTTCCTGCACAGAGGAGCACTGAAATGACGCCTTTAAAGCACACGTCTCTTTTCACCGCCACTGCGTTTAAATGGAAAAACGGCGCCACCTTGTGCTAAAAAATAGTCATAACTTGTAATTGAATGAGTGCTGGTTTGTAAATTATAGTGATAATGTCGTTTTTTGTTAGTTTCACAATGGATTTGTATGCATGAACTACTGGTTCAGCTCTTAAAAAAGATATTTCTGTTATTCCCTTTTATTTCAACTTGTTCCTCTGCCTGTGAACGGACAGTGTAAAAAATTTGGAATATAACGGGATTGGTCTGGACTGGGGGCCCAATATGATATGAATTCATGGGCCCCAAAATATTTAGTGATGCCCCTGGGGCAACAATAAGATTGGTCATCATGGATCAAAACGGGACACAGCGTTTAATTTTGCGATGCGAGATCACCCTGTAATGTTGGGGACGGATGGCCACTCTATTGCCAGGCGGCTGACAAAGCGTAAACTCCAGCGGGCAGAAAGCCAGTGGGGTCAGGAGGCTTTGAAACTGATCCGTGGCTGTTTATGGGTCCGCCGGCGGAGGGCTGGGACCTTGCCAGCTGGGGCGTGGCCTCGCAGGAAATGGGGGATACGTGTCCCCATACGGACTGCAATACAAATATGTAACACCTAAATATTAGTGTAACAGGTAATACAGTGCCATAATCCATTTTAACATGTCTTATTGTTATAAGAACCTGATTGATTAGTGATTGCTTTAAAATGGCGGTGTATTTTAGACTAAATGCACACTCTTACATATAAAACTTGTGACAAATGCTTGTAAAATTATATGGGATTCCAGGATTGTGCATGTTCCTGTTGCGGTCTGTACAGGAGGTTCTCCTATGCAGCTGTTTGGCTGTAACCCCCCACTGACTTAAGATCCGTAATGGATTTCTCTGTGTTCCAGGTCCGCCTGCCATGTGCCCGCACTGGGTGAGGTCACTGTTTGGCGCAGCCCCAGTCCCCATGGCACCTTGTCCTCCAGAGCCCATTCCTGCCATAGTCAATCTGTCACAGTTGCCTTTTCCCACGTCCGCTTAACACGGGGGAGGGGGCACAGACAGCTGCCGCCGCATGCCGCCGACGCCGATGTCACAGGTGTTGTTGGGGATGCCCGGGGGTTCCGTCCCGAGACTTTGGGTGGGATACAGGCAGCTGTGGGCCTATCTAGTGTGAGGTGTGGGGTGGGGGGGTTGGCAGGGGGGTGGCAAAGACTCTAACAGGCAGCTCATGTCACGCATTAGGAACCCCCCCCCCCCCCGTAGGAGGTCAAGGATGATGATTTCCTCAAGTGGAAAGATTTTACACCTGTAATACAGAGTGTACTTCATGTGGTGGGGGGTCCTGACCACCCTTCCATGACCCTCACATTCCCCACGGTTTGGTCACAACTGGTAACCTCAGGATCCTGTCATGGTTCCAGGCCTTACGAGCAAAGGAGGCCCCCGGATGGGCGATTTGCTTGTCTGGTGAGCAGCTGGGATTTGGCAAGTGAGATTACATCAGAAAGGAACATAACTGTGAATCATTTTTATGAATCACCCCAGTCTATTGAACCCAAATTCCCTGGCCTTGGCCATGCTGGTGCAGTGTCTGTCTGGCCCAATGCTGTCTGGGGGCCTCCTAAGGCATCCTGACTGAAAGCTGTCTGACCCGCATGGAACGTGACAGAAGGTCTGTCATTATGCAGCCACTGGCTCCACATAAGCAGGTTATTACTGTGCAAACGTGGACCAAGGTAGACACCCTGATGTCATAATAAGGTCAGCCTGTGAGAATTTGTAGGTGGACCAGCTGAACCCCCCAAAAGAAAAAAACACTTAATGGACAAGAATATTTAAAAATGCATAGGACTTCAAAACTTTATTTAATCTTAAAAATATAAACCAAATAATAAGACATAACAGTAAATATAAATAACATTATTTATTATGACTTAAGAAATTTAATTGTAAAAAAATATATATAAAAATAAACAAATTATACATATAATAGTGAATATAAATAACATTACAAAATAAATTTCAATGTAAAATATTTAAATTCTATTGAGAAATTATTGTATGTGCCGACATTAATTTATACACCCTGAGAATGCATAGAATGTTAAAAATCTCCTGCTGCAAAGCAGGTCGTAAAATTGATGGTTATAAATATATTTTAAATATTAACCCAGGACATGGTCAGAGATGGCATGATACCAGCAGCAGTGTGGCAGCTTGTATCTGTGGTTTTGCTGCCCGTGTTGCTGCCTGTCCTTCTGGTATGATGCCCTCTGGCCTCCGTGCTCTTCTGTCCTGGGGGAGGCTCACTTATGAGGGAACATGACCCCCAAGGCAATGCCTGGAACTCCCGTCTTCTGTTGGATCCACTTGTTGTAGTTGGTGACCTTGGTGTAGACACCCGGCCGGTTTCTTTTGGCACATTCCTCCCCCCAGCTGACGATGCCAAACAGGAACATGTGGTTCCCCACCTTGCATATCAAGGGTCCCCCTGAGTCTCCCTGGGGGGCAGCGGGGGAAAAATGTTGAGGTTACTGTGTCGGCTACCTGGCCGTCGTGCTGGGAGCCGCTTAATGGAAGGTGACGGATCCTTTACCTTACAAGCGTCTGTGGTCCACGTGCGGCTGTTGGCGCAGAACATGTTGTCTGTGACCGCTGTCCCGTAGTAGGTGTCACTCGTGCAGTCCTTCTGGGCCACCAGCTGCACAGTGCCCTCTTTCAGGTACTGGGAGTAATGGAGAGTTTCTGTTCATAGAAACAGTGTGGAAGACAGGGATCAAACCGGGGCGATTATGTGCTTAATAATAGTACTGATGATGCTTCATACGCCATTTTGCACAAGTACAGGTACATTGGAATGCTTTTTTTTCCACGTATCCCATCATGCTCTCCTTTGAGACACATGTACACATACACAGTTGAGAGTGCAGCTTGGGGTCCGATCACAGGGTCAGGACATTTATCTGGTGGGGGTGGAGGTGTTGGGGGGGGGTAGACTTGTTGGCCTTGCTCCAGGGCACAGTGGGCGTGTGACTATTCTACCAAAGGCGGGATTCAAACCAGTGACCATGCAATGGCACAGAGGCCTAAGCTGCTGAGTCACCTGGTCCTTAGAAGCAAAGGGACAGGGGGACTCACCATCTTTACCATATCCAATGACCTGGCAGGAGGACCCTGGGGGCAGCATCTGGCTGGGGGGCGGAAGGCATGCGGTCCGTACCGAGTCCGTCATCTTGGCACAACGGTTGCATTTGATCTTCAGCAAAGCTGAAACGGAAGAAACCTGTGAGAGAGACTCACCCCGCTGGAGCCCCCTGGAGGCATCTGCATGCATTGCAGGTTCAGGTCACCTTACCGATGTCATTGTTGTAATAAGGCTGAACCTCGTCATTGTAAGCCTCGTGAGTGATGAGTTTCTGCACTTCGAAACTCTGCTCTCTGCTGGCATCGCTCTCATTGATGGCATTCTTCCCCAGGAAGATGGTCATGTCTTTAATCCTTTTGTGACTGGGGGGGGGGGACATTACGACAGTCCATCAGTCCCTGAGTCAACCGTACCCTTTCTCACATGTGTGTCAGTAGCCGTCCATCGGGACACTTACTCATCAACAAAGCAGTGAGCGGCCGTGAGCACCCAGCATGGTGAGATCAGGGTCCCACCGCAGCGGAATTTACCCTTCAAAAAGATGGACGCTATCCATGGCTGGGACTCCACTGCAATGGTCCTCCCACCCATAACCTTGAACTGCATTTTTTTGTGCTGCCCACAATCGGTCACTGTGGGAAGATGTGACAATCAAGCTACACAGGCTGTCCGTTCAGAGGCAGAGGAACAAGCTGTAAAGGCATGGACTGTGTGCTCACAGACAGCAGGACAAGCATGGACTGTGTGCTCACAGACAGAAGTAAAAGCATGGACTGTGTGCTCACAGACAGCAGGACAAGCATGGACTGTGTGCTCACAGACAGAAGTAAAAGCATGGACTGTGTGCTCACAGACAGCAGGACAAGCATGGACTGTGTGCTCACAGACAGAAGGACAAGCACAGAACTGCTGCTATTCAAGGTACGGCCAGCAGGTGTATGAGACTGCCACTGATCCCTGGTAGTCATGGCCGTCTTCATGCAAGCACGTCTCTGAGCTGTCTGACTGAACAAATGACCGTATGTCTTAAGTGTCCATATGAACACTAAGCCAGACAAACCATTTGTTATCGAAAATGGCCACTTAGAACCTCAAAAGACGGATACTGGCCTTTGGGCAAAAAGACCAGGTGCTCAGCAATCCCACCCCCCACAGCCAAGGGGCTGTAAGGACCCACTATACCGAGGCTGGCAGACTCACCTGAGTGTTGGCGGACACAGGCCCTCTTGGATTTCCGGGGACCCTGCTATGAAGAAAGCTGACTTATTGCGTGTGCTGAGTCTGACGCACCTCAGCTAGTATGACTTCATACTAGATATTAATTGAAATTCTCTGTGCACTATTTATACATCAAATAGCCAGTTTTAGCTCACGCGCACATGACACAAACAGCTGCATTTGTGGAAGTGATAACCACAGCGGGGATGTTTTACCGCTGTGAAGTTGGCCGTTGTATACATTACCGCGTGCAGGGCTGGTGATGAGGCAGCCAGCAGAGTGAGAAAGAGGAAGATCTTCATTGTTCCTCTTGGCTGCTTTCCTCCTTTTATGGCGTTTCTGTGAGAGCGAAATTCAGTTGCAGGCATTAGGGGTGCGAGCCGAATCGTGGGTAGTGGCATGATTATGGGGACCTTGGAAAAAGCTCTGCTTTCTGCTAATGCTTCAGAATGATCCCAACCGCCATTTATAAGATAAGTGTGCAACTTACCAACATGTTCAACATGTTCAATGGCTATATCATAAACTGAGCAATGAACATTTTCGTGGAATACATTCAATGGGTCAAAATCAAATGAAAAATTATTTATATATTTAAAACAACAGAGACTGACTGAAATGCTGCACAAAATCAAACATATGTATAAGGAAAAAAACAGAATAAAAGCTGGAAAAAGTAAAAAATAAGTTATTATCATTTTTTTTTTATTTTGGGTGCATTTAATAATGAATTTGCCATTATAATCCTTCAGAACAGATTTTTGCTGTTTGGAAAAAAAAATGGGCAACTTAAGACCCAGTAAGTCAAGTCAAAAGTCTCTATTGTCAATTCTGCCATATCAGGACAACTGAAATTGAAATTGAAATTACATTACTCTCAGATCCCACCCACGGTGAGCACCCTAACAACAACAAGCAAGACAGACAAGCAAGACAGATACAGATATTCAAGTATATATATGTATGCAAAGCTAAATTTAATTAAATACTTTGTGCAAGTTTTCCACCAAGGAAGAAAACCCCTTCTTTTCCCCATTTTTTCCTCCAAAGTCCTACTTTGATACTATTCCCACAAGCCCAGCGTTTTGTAGTTTTGAGGCATTCCACATGAAACTAAATACCTGATAAATCCGTCTCCCCCACATTGAGTACAGTGGTGCTTTCTGTTCTAGTCAAAAACACTCTAAGAATATACCATGCATCCCTGTAGATGGGGGACACCACGAATCAAGGCAAACTTATTGTTATAAGTAAAGAAGTGGATTCACTGAGGATGCAGTGTTTGCTTACCGGAGAGGTGAATGTCCTTAGTGCTGTCAGAAGTGAGGCTGCAGGAACTGCTGCGTGGAACTTGCTATGCGCGTTTGGGTCAACTGCTGCTCAGTTCTGGTCTCAGCTCACCATATAGGCGTGGAAGGGGATGTGGGCGGGGTCTCCGCTGATTGACACATCCACTCTGTGATGTAGTTGCTGAAGAGCTGCTGGAGAAGTGGCTGGCGGATACATTCTGGTGATTCATGAAATGACACGGCTTCCCACATGTGGCTAATTACATGACCAAAACAGGAAGCATGCCTAAAAAGCCTACTTTGGGGCCAGCACTGGCATAATCGCAGTGTAGCACGGACAGCTGGTCCTTGCGCATCAGCAAGCAGGTGGCAAGGCAGTTAAAGTTGCCGATTGATATTAAGATTAATACTGACCTTGTCGATTCCAGGAAGAAATTATGGTGTGTTCTGTCATTACACAGCAATCCCCTAAAACGTTCATGCGTGTGAATATGAACTGTGACGGCATTTCTGAGCAAACAACTGTTATTGTATAAAGCTCAACCTGAGGCAAGTTTGTACTCAAAACATGCAGCAGGACTCGTTCAGCGCTGGCATCCTGCACCGCTATGAGTTTCATTACTGTTTTACCACAAACTATAATTTTTTGATAATGATTGATTTCCCTGTTTGTTTTATACAGGCATTTAGCCTGTGAGGTTATTATCGATTTCTGTTCAATGTCAGCGGTGAGAACAACTGATTCACAATCATTCTGAAATTCTTAAAAACTGTAACACTGAAATGAATCAGGCCTGATATTTTATTGGTAGACATTTCATCTTGCAACACATTCAGTTTCCCAATATACCTCCAAAGCTTCTAGGTAATGTGTTTAACATGTGGTGCATTCTGGAAGTATTTGGAGCCCTTTGGATTATTTCCACATTTTGTTATTTGGCAGCCTTGCGCTCATTTAAATTCAATTTCCCCCCTCAATTCTCCACAACGACAGAGTGAAAGCTAGAATTTAGAAATCTTTGCAAATTTACTAAAAAGAAAAAACTGAAAGTCCACCTTGACATTCACTGATAAGCCAAAACATTTCACAAGGCCTGAATGATTTGGCCCTTGTCAGTTCACTCAGATCTTCACCCCTGCCCATTTCTTCTGCATTCAACATGTCGACTATGAGTACCAAATGTTATCTTACTCTCCAGTATATCCCAGACCTTGACATCATTATTCGCTTCACATGGGGATGTTTGTAATGTTTTGGCTCATTGTTGTAAATTTTCAGACCCTTCATCAGTACTTAGTTTGCCAGCAATTGCAATTTTCTTGAGTATGACGCAACAAGCTCTGCACACATGGATTTGGGGATGTTTTTGATGTTATTTCCTGTAAATCCTAACAAGCTCTGTCAGGTTGGATGAGGACTGTCAATGGACAGCTATGTCTCTCCAGAGATTTTCGAATGGGTTCAAGCCCGGGCTGTAACTGGGTCCCTCTAGGACCCCCACAGAGTTGTGCCTAAGTCACTCCTACATTGTCTTTGCTTTTTGCTTAGGGTCATTGTCCTGTTGGAAGGTTAACCATCAGCCCAGTCTGAGGTCCAGAGTGCTCTGGAATACGATAAACAATAAGAATAATTACACAAAATTTAAAACAATACAAAAAAAATCTAAACTAATCAAATGAAATGGCTTATGAGCAGGCAGAAACATGGCCAGCTCTGGCTACAGACAGATTAGATAGTCGCCTCAGGCCCCTGAATTACCTGTGTTGCACAGGAAGTGAAATGATCATTAGTTTTCTTGGTGTAAATTGACACTCCTCACTTAACGACTTATGACTAGATCATTAAGCGAATTGGTCGATAAGCATGGAGCCGCACCTTGCTGATATTTCAAGCACACTGTACTGATAGTGGGTTGGTGTCAACCATCTTCAGCTATTCTTTTAATGTCACTTTTACACCATTTATAACATTTTTAGTGCATTTATAAATGTTTATACAGTAGTGTAATAAACAGAATAGAGGAAATCAGCTCTAATATACATTACTTAGCTTTGCACACTGTAAACACTGGTAATCAGAGATTTGAACGCTAGTGCAGTGAATACTGAGCAATTGTGGGAACAAGACAGAGAGTGGGAGAGGGTGATACTTAGGGTTAGGGTTAGGGTTCGTAAGTTCCAACGGTCATCACATATTTATTCATTTCTATTAATTTCTCTCGGCCCTGGCTAGTTTCAGAGTCTCTTTCCTTGAAAAACACCCCCACAGTTTCACCATTGGGGTGGTATTGAGGTGCCTCAGTATTTCCAGACATGACGCCAAACAGCTGTCTTGGTTTCATCAGATCAGAGAATCTTGTTTCTCACAAACTCCAGCTTTCTGGGGCTTCTGCTGAGCTCACATCAGTGGTGTGTTGCAGTGCTGGTTTCTCCCATCTCCACATAGGATCTCTGGAGCTCAACCAAAGTGGCTGCCAGGTCCTTGGTCACCTCTCTCAACAATGCCTATCTCCCCCGTCTGCTCACTTTGTCGGGGGTGGCCAGCTCTAGGAAGAGTCTTGGTTGTTCCAATCCTCTTTTTAAGAATCATGAAAGCAACTGTCCTATTGCGAACCTTCAGTTCCACAGGATGGTTGTGGTCTTCCTCAGATCTGTGCCTAAACAAAATCCTGTCTCTGGGCGGTTCTTTAAACCTCATGGCTAGGTGTTTGCCTTGATATACAGTACTGGAAAGCTGGATTGCTGCTGGAAGTGGTGTTGGTGTGGCTAACAGGTTAGCCCATCCTGTGGTCTGCGTGGATCCCAATGCCCCAGTGCAGTGACGGGGACACTGTGCTGTAAAAATGGTGCCGTCCTTCAGATGAGACGTAAAACCGAGGTCCTGACTCTTTGAACAGTACCCCAATGTCCTGGCTAAAGTGGCCCACCGTGGCCCTATCAAATTTGGCCTCCTAATCATTCCCTAAATCTAACTGGTGAATTCATTCTGTCCCTTCTTCACCATAACTACTGTGTGGTGACCATACTGGCGCAGAATAACTGCTGTCGCATCATCCAGGTGGGGGCTACACAGTGGTGGCGGCTGAAGTGGCTCCCCATCGCTTCTGTAAAGCGCTTTGGGTCTTGAAAAGTGATACATGAATGTAACATTCATTCATTCATACTGTGCAAAGGTCATAGGCTGACAATGTTAAGGCTATTTATCTTGGTATTAAGTGTATATTTTTTGAGAGAAAACACACAATGTAACATTAGAATGTTTACAACTGAATCACCCATCCATCCATCCATTGTCCGACCCGCTTAGACTACTGGGTCACGGGGGGTCCGGAGCCTATCCCGGAAGCAATGGGCACGAGGCAGGGAACAACCCTGGACAGGGGGCCAGCCCATCGTAGGGCACACTCACACACCATTCACTCACACATGCACACCTAAGGGTGATGAACACCACTCTAGTTCCCAAACCTCTCCTCAGGGCCACCCCAGCCATTCCATGAATTTGTTTAATTTTCACCACCACCTCACTTAATTAATTTAGTTTAATTACAGTAGAAACTATTTATACTGATCACAGTTATAGTGATCAACTGCTTCCTGATCAACAGAATCATTCCTGTACAAATACTGTTTAAATTACTGGCTTACTGTAATCAAGTAGTCTGCTTACAGTGTACTGACTATTTTTAAAATTGTTCTTTTACTTTGATTACCCTACTTTGCCTTGCAGTAACGCGTCTGTTTCTGGCTAGCGACCTGAGGCTAATCCTGTGCACAGAAAACATGATGGGAGAAAGAAAGTCATTTTCTCTTAATGACAATTGTAAATTCATCAAAGTTTATGATAAACCGCCAAAAACAAGCCACTGAGACACAGTAGCGAAATTACAATAAGCACTTTGAGACAATGTAACGTTGTGAAAATGTGCTGTATAAATGAAATATAATTGAATATTATGTATAAAGAAGAAGAGAAAAATCGGTGATCATCCACTTACAGTGATCAATTTCACTCAGACAGACGTGATCACTATAAGCGGTTGCCACTGTATTTAAACTGATGAGGTATTGATTAGCCAAACATAGTTGGCTAATGGCTGAGTCAAGAAACACATGGGTGTATAGTATGGTTACTGCAAATACGAGGTGACTTGAGGAGAGGTTGTTATATGGCCAAGCTAACACACTTTGACATACATAATATTACGGATTTATACTAACAGGAAGATCATTTAAGCACGATGTTCTTTGACTGCCTACGACTTTTGTATATTACTGTACAATGTCAATTGTGAGACCTTAAACATGCTGGTTTGTGCCTTTCCAAATGATGTGCAATCAACTGAATTAACCACAGGTTCCCTCCAGGCAACGTGCAGGAACATCTCAAAGACAATGAATAGAACAGAATTAGTAGAAACGGGATGCACTTGAAATAAATTTCAAATGTCATAATAATGGGTCTGAATACTTATGTCAATGTGTTGTTTCAGTTTATTCTTTAAAAAATTGCAAAAACATCTAAAAATCAGGTTTTTGCTCAGTCATTATGGAGTACTGAGTGTAGATCGAAATAAATAAATGATTTTAAATTAAGGCTGACAGGTGAGAAAATGTTACAAAAGTGAGGGGGTCTGAATACTTTCTGAATGCTCTGTACATACTTAAAACATGATTATATGGAGGTCTGTAAGAGGACAGCAAAAAAGAGAAGAAAAAAGGTCCTCTAGATGAGGACAGCAGCACATGGAGGCCAATGTCTAACCACTAAGTAAGTAAGTAAGATAAGTAAAGCTAGTCCCATCAAATGCTCATCCTTTTGAATCAGCAGATCTGCATCAGGCGTGTGAATGTGTACAATGTGGGTAGATGTGGCTGCGACCAGCCCAGAGCTACAAGAAGGGTGAGAACCGTAAAGAAGGGTGCTAAAGATGCACTCTGCACTCCATCCTGTAGAGAAGGTGGTGTGGATGTGTCAGTCTGCCTGGGACACAGACATCTGCACAGGTGGACGAACAAAAAGGAGCAACTGGGCCTGCAAGCAGTAACGGGGGCTCATGCAGGAGAACTGTGACTGAAGGAGAAGCAAGAGGAGAGGAGGAACTGCACGGGTACATCTCTGCCACTGTACGCTTAACTGCGCAGTAAGGGAGTTTGC